CCAGTGCGAGTGCGCGCGGCTCGTAGATGTAAACCCTGCTTAGCGCACGGCTGACGCGCCCCGCGCCCCGCGCCCCGCCTCCCGCGACCGACGCGAGCGTCTCTCGGCTCGCGCCCCGCGAATTTAATTAAGAACGCATCTGTGATAAACCGACCGCGCGGACGTTCGCTGGAGATGAACCGGCCGGCGATTTAGCCGACCCCCCGTCGCACACGTGTCGCGACCGTTTAATACAGCGCGCATCGCCGTGATCAATTGACTAATGAACGATCACACTTTCACGTTGACAATTTCAGTTGTTGTAACCGCTCGGTTTTAATTAAAAGGATAAATTTATCCGAGAATACAAACAAAAATGATAACAGTAAAAAAATAGCAATTTGAACAAAATTTTAATATCAGTGCTATGTTTTTGTTGCACTGAATACAAACTCTTGTAGTAGAAAAGAAAGAAAAGCGAGTATTTGTGATCTAACTATTCTGAAACATTTTACCGTACCAGTTTTTGCCGATAAACTTATTCCTAAATCTACTCACCCATTCATTATTACATTGTTCATACGAAAACATAATTATTTTAAAACGACTATTATTTCAAAACAGCTCTAACCCGTCGTGATCACGATCCTTTCATTTCGTGGTCTGGGAACATCCAGCAGTACCTAATTTTAACAAAGCTTATAGCGCAAAACTGTCCTTTGAAGTTGGTCTCGTTTATGGAAACAAACGCAACCTACTTTTACCACTTAATGCAGAAATACTGATCTTCATCCATCATAATTTAATTTACCTTTATTGAAATTTGAGTCCTAAATTTACAGATGACGTTATAATTAACTAACGTCCTTTACATTCATTAGTTCTCTTTAATTACCTACATTGTCATGTGATTGTCAACGGTCGTGTAGTTGCTAGTTATTTATCATTTACCATCTCTTTAATCAATAACTCAATTTCTTTGGCGTACCGATTATAAATTTTTCTGTTTTAAATATCCGGTATTCAGCCGGATATTGCCCGATTGTCCGGTGTCCGTCCGGATAGTAAAATTAGGCCAGATACCAGGTAGTTACCGGATATCGGTTTCATCTCTAACGTTTACACCTAGACGCTCCCTCGGCTTCGGAGTGATGACTTGGCCGTAGAAGACTCGCGTCCGGTCGGCCCTTAAGATGATAGTAGTACTTACGGACGTTGTGTTGTTTGACGCTAAGCGAGCGAGCCGAGAGGCGCCTCGTCGTTGCGAGAACGGGGCCGCAGCGGCGCGGGCGGGGCGCCGGCGGCGCGGGAGTGCCATGCCCGTTCGCCCGTTCGCCCCTTCGCTCGTTACCGCAATAATGTATTCGCTAGAAATAGTCCCAACCGCGGTCCGCAGCGCGCCCCCGCCGCCGCTATGGAGACGAACGACGGGCAACAGTGTCGCAGCCAAAAGTTTAACAATAGATCTAATACGATAATGTGAGACGGAATCGTTTGCGTGTAGAAATGATAAGGATTACGAATTAGGTAGCCGCTGCGTTCCGACTGCCGCGCTTTTTATTTTTCGAGTACACGGTCCGTTGGGCTCACGTGTATCACAATGTAGTGACACACGAGCAATCGCTCGCGACGCGCCCACTCGGAAGGCAGCGGCGGCGCCGGCGCCCGCCCTCGCCTCTCGCGCCCTCGGAGGGCCGGAGGCCGAGAGGGCTAACTGCTCATACCTACAATCGTCGAGAGGGCGCGCGAGGCCGCGGGAGGAGACTCTCGCCGGCGCCTCGTGTACTTGTTCTGTAAAGATGAGTGTACAATATTGTTCTTATATTGTATTGTTTTCTTTTTTAATAATATATTGTGTTTAAACAGCTACCCCCGTCTTTGATTTACCGACACCTCCTCCGCGCCGTTCCGGTTCATCAAATTGTAACGTCATAAAAGAGGCCCATTCCGGCGCTTCGTTATGTGCGCAGTGCCACATTAAAAACCTTAATGTTGAAATATGACGTGAATATGGAAATTCCGATAATTTTATTGCGAAGAGATCGCTTTAAAATGTCGTCGGTAGATAACGACTCGTTGAATAATTATGATAATTGTCGAAAAATTATTGAGGAACAAATTCAATAAATCTCAAAGGGAGGCGATTGCGGCCCTTCCGCGCCCCGCGCCCCGCGGCCCTCCCCCGCGTGCCGTCCGATGATCATTGGTAATTTATGTTGGCAACTGGTTATGATAAAATCACAGCGCGGAGCACTCGATCGCACATTTTTCCCCGCCCCCCTCTCGCCCCCTCTCGCCCCGGGCGTAGTAAATCGTTACGGGAGTCCGTCCTTTCCGGGAGTGCACTCTGCAAGTATTTCGTTCTGGATATTTCGTGGAATGAACGCTGTGGGTTGAAATATAAAATGTTATCTGAGTTGAAACAGCGCGGCGAGAGGCCGAGATCGAGTCCGTCGGGTGGCCGACGCCGCGAGAAATTGAATGAAAACATAGAATATTTATTCTGAGACGATGCAGCGCAGCGCTCGCCGCCTGCCGTACATCAGCCCGAGAAATGGAACATCCTTTCTGCCGCCACAGACTATAACTTTTAACGTTCGCTGTTAGTAGAAAAGCTGCGAAGAAAAATGTACCTACTCTAAAATAAACTGAAACATTCGGATTCGCGGGACGGTCGCTGTAGTACGTACATTGCAACATAAGGAATCGTTTGCACCTTCTAATTTTCCAGGTGATGTAAGGAGAATAGAGTTCGATAAAACAACGTTTTATCTCTCCCGAGGCACAATATGAGAATGGATGGGTAGTCTGTGTCGGAATCGTCTTGCGGCTCTCCTTTTAATATTTGATCTGCATATTTATAAACGCCCCGGCGCGGACTGTTTGCGAGCCCTGGAGCGTGTTTGTAGATTTATAGTTTATTTCATTTCATATCGTGAGAATCGTGTCGACACCCGCGCGACTTGCAGAAGCATTCTGTTTGCAAAGGAAATTCTCTGTCTCACGAATGTTTGGGCGCTGGGGAGCCGAGCATATTATCTTTCCGTATGAATTCCTACGCTAGTGCGCTCTAAATTTCAATATTTGTGAGAGTGCAGTGGACAGTTCGCTTTGAGTAGTGTACAATATAATTTGTTGGATGGACGCTTTTCGGAAATAAGTAGGAATTAACAAATACTTCGTTACATACGAAAATGGTTTACTGAAAATCTCGTGGGGTATTACAGGGAACGAAACCTTTAAGCCCGTGGGTACACAGCATTTTGCTCATGAACTGTCCGCGATGTGAATCTGGTGTGTCTATAACTTGCCAGGATCTGCCGAGACGCAGCAGTCGTGACTGCGTTGAGTTGTTCTCTCTCGCTAGCGGCCAGCGCACCGGCAGGAGCCTGCTCTTGGACGGTGTTGGGTCTCTGAAACGCATACATACCGGTTTCTTGAATATCGCGTCTGTAGGTAGGATTGCGTGATTTTACTACACTGTCAATGTTAATTGAATAATTTCGTGTCCTTAGAACTGTGTATATTGTAAAAAATAAAAACGACGATAATAGATATGCATGTCGCAATTACGTCTCGAGTTTTTGTGCATAAATTGTGTTGCCAAGCCTAAAAAAAATAGTCTTCGACAATGTTTACGTAATATGTAAAGATTCATTGGCTAATGGTGGACTGGCACACGCAGGTGCGTACCCACACTCGGCCATTGCGTAAAACATCTTGCGTTTATTACGCATCGCTTTGGAGCTATTGTGGTAAAGTTTAACCTCTATTATAGGTCCTACCAGTGGCAAAGAGTCCATATAACACGATTGCCTTCGGCTTGCCTTAAGAAATTGGTTAAACGAAGCATATTATTATGTGAGCTTTTAATTTGACAACAAGTTGGAAATATACAGGTAAAAGCTTAAACTAGGGTTAAATTATAAGAATAAAATTGGCTCCCCGCGGCGAGGTGAGTTGAGTTGAGATGAGATGAGTGTCCCAGACAGTTAATTTTTTTTTGATAAAAATGTGTATAGATTAAGAGTTTCGACTCCAAAGGTTGTATGTCTATATGTCTATATTAATCTACATCGATAACAATTTTCACTTTATTTTGAATAAACGATACGCTTTACTATTTGATTCGACAATCTGGCACCGCATCGCCTAGTTTTCCGTAGAAAACCGATTGCTTTGTCTATAAGGCAAACTGACGCTGAGTTTCCTCATCGCTCTAGTAAAATATATGTACTACTTGGTACTTGGTGTAACGGGCTGGTGTCCGCAACTCGACGTCAAGGCGCCTATTTTGCGTGAAAAAAAAAATTTAATATAAAAATAAAAAATAAAAATATAATATGTAACGCTGATATCGAGCAAATGTCTCTCGAAAAAACGATCATGTTCCGTATCTTTTCAATTACACGAATTTGTACGGCAGATCAACTCGGTTGATATCGAGTTACTGTAGAATTGTAGTAAATAGTAAGCACGGCAGGAAAGCCAGATTGTTTAGTCTCGGCAGTAAGGTTATCGCGAGTTTGACGTCCTGTGATTGTGTTACTTTTTATATTAATTATTTTATTTATTTTTGAAGAAAATAAAAATGGCGGCCGAAATGTGTATTTAATTTTGGAAATAATTGTTGCAGTGATTGATTGTCTACGATTTTCGATGTTTTCTTTGGTTTTCTGGCGGTTAAAAATCGTTAATAGTGGACTGGTTAATACAATATTACCTACAGCGTTATTTTATATCAACTTTTCCATACTCGACTTTCAGTTCAAATATTCGCCGACACGGATATCCCACTATTCGTCACTGAGTGAGAAGAAAACGCAAAAACTTTGTTATTTTTAATTTTTGTAAGTAAGTACTATAATAGAAAATTACGTAATTATTATTATTTTATATTATTAAGATATTGCTATTTTACGATAAAACTTTTTTGGAGTATGCTAATAACTAGGTACATTATTGTTTTCTTTAGACATTTTGATTTTATGTGTGTACAATTTTTGAAAAATTTAGAAACTTTCTCGAAAAATTACATAATATAAATACTATTAGTTCATTCTATCACAAAGACTGATACCTACTAATGCAAATGACAAGGAAATAACCAGTGACCAGTCCGGACGCACCTAATCGCTTTGTTTGCCTGTCGAATGACGTGGTGGTTAGCTCTGAACAAAGCTAAGCTTTTCAGTGCTGTTGAACATAAAGAAAGCTGATACACTTACTTTTAGCCATCGACCCAAAATCGGGAGCACGTAACAAATTCACAGCGCCGCTTCCCTAGTGTGCATTAGTAGCCATGGGCTGTATTAGCTTTCTTTGGCTACTTTGCCCACTGACGTTTCGCGATTATAGGAATTGTGATAACTTACCCATATTTCATGAAGTTTGTGAACAAGGTCGTAATTCTGTCTATGCACAATTTGTCCTGTTGCGACAACAGCAGCGAAATGCCTGCGGGCTTGAACAAGTAAAAAATGTCGTCAGAGTGCGACGCTCCCTTAAGTCTCGTTCGGCTGCCAAATACAAACTTGGCGAAATTTCTATCTCCTTCGTAGTCAAACATGTAGCTGTACACTGGCTGATCGGAGTGTTCACTCATTAACTGTGCAAATGAGTCCACAGAAGCGTATGCTATCCAGTCAGAGTAGTAGTCCACTACGCCTTTGACGACAGCTCTGTCTATTCGTTTTTTTCCAAAGTAATAAGCCCGCATTCTCTTGGCTACTTTTCTTCTTTCCTTCTGCGGCAACCACGAAAATATTGAAGGCAACCTTTCTACGAAATTTTCGTTCCAATCTTTGAAGGTTTCGTCATCATTGAGTCCATAAAATAACATACCTTCTAAGCTTGTAAAACCGACTATCATAGGCACTTTATGAAAATTGCCTGACACTATACTATTGTACGGTGTGTCGTGGAAAAATGGGTCGGTATTATTGAAGTCCATGCAGGGCGAATATTTAAAGTACCTCGTATTCCATGAAACATCAGCACTGATGCCGAGGACGTCCTCCACTGAGGCATTTGCAAATACATTAAATACGTCGATTTCGTTAGTCACTGTTCTTAGTTTGTTAGCGTCCTTGAAGGCAGGTCTATAAGGTTCAACGTTGTAAGCCCAAGGTGATATTACTGTGCCACTCATAAGGATTGCTTTGTGAAACAAATTTTCACTAGATTTCGATAGAAGGTGCATAGCTGCCGCGCTGGCTCCTGCACTTTGACCAGATATTGTCACGTTGTCCGGATCTCCTCCGAAAGCGGCTATGTTTTTCTGTATCCACCTGAGAGCTGCTACTTGGTCTTTCAGGCCTAGGTTAGCTACTCCGTTGATGCAAAGAAAACCGAAAACGCCAACCCTGTAGTTGACGATGACGACTATAACGTTTTTGGCGACTAGAAACTCAGGGTCGTAGTGTGCCTTGGTCCCGTAATAGTACGCTCCGCCATGGAGGAATACTAGAACTGGTAGATTGTCTCCGCGTTTAGCCTTTTCAGGTGCGTAGACGTCTAATTCTAGGCACTGTTCGGAACCTAATCGTAGGAACGACACTGCTTGAGCGCAATGCCCAAATCGTCTCACTGCATTGAAGATGCCGTCCCATCTCGGTGGTTCACTTGGAGGCTGAAAATATACGGTTGTGTTATTCATCGTCATTTCTACCACACGAACATTTAACACATTTGTATGTATCTTACCTGAAATCTGTCGCTAACTGCGTAAGGTATACCGTAGTACCGGTTTTGCCCAGACAAGCTACTCAGTCCTCGCAGCTTGCCCCCACTCAACTCCACTGTCGGAGTAAAGATGTACGCCACTCCGAAACTGTACATAAACCACAACACTAATATTGAATATTTGTTTGCCATATTATGGAGCGATCACATTCTGTCTTTTCCATTAGGGTTATTCACTTTATTTTTATTTTCTAAATTCTTTTGAATAACTGCTTAAGTATATAATTATTCTTTGCACCGTATCACTCATTGCAGTGCAACAGATATCTTTACGATTTTTAACATTAAAATCGAATAGATAGACGGTCATCAGTGTGTAACTCCCGTGAGATGTGCACAATGTGACTGGCGAGATGCATGGCACGCTGCAGCACCAACTCGGTGGTGGCGAAAGTAGCGGTGACCTAGTAATCAGTTTGATTATTGCGAAAAGTTGCATAACTCTTGTTCTACACAATAATAAACATTGGCTTTTGCATTTATTGATGTTAAAACATACTTAGATATGAAAGGTCAAGTATACATATCTAATGGATCAGCGAATAGAATTTAAGATTCAATTAGGCGTTTCAATAATCCACAATAGCGATTTTATAGGTAGATACATGTGTGTATTGTACACACAATTGAAATCTAGTGCATCATAGCTCAAAATAAATGTACCTACATGATTTTGAAGCACGAGCGAGCATTTCACTAATAATTTATGCTCGTAGACGGACATACATTACTGTAACAATTGTATTAATTTATGTTCTGGAATCAAAACGGCCGTCACGGCGAGGTCGTCTCTGGGTTCCTCTTTGATAATATCAGAGATGGTGTTGGCTGTCTACCGGCGATCAGCAGGAAAATGCGACGTTACAGGGAGTAGCTCAAATCCTTTATAGCGTTTCTCCGAATAACTTGGAATTATTGCAACAAAAATAAATGAAGCCACGAATCACTGCGCCAGTTATGAATTCCTTGACTAAGGCATTCTCACACCGGTTATTTCAGGCACGCTGGCTTTGTTTCTATTCTCAACAGTAAAATTAAATTAAGTTCGCGTTTCAACGTCATCGCGTCACTTAAAATGTTGGAAAGCGTCCTTCGAAATTAAATTTTTGTGATTTGAAAATGGCGTCTGGTTATGCGCGCGGCGAGCTTCTTTAATAGTTAAGAGATAACCGTAAGAGATGTGGAGACGAGATGGCTGGGAAATTTGGGAAGCCTGTGTAAACATGTTGCTGGCTTAGCCCCGTGTGGAATGCCTCTAGCGGATCGAGATAACTTTTGAATTAAAAGGCGGAGGAAGTCCGCTCCTCGTCCAATTTGCATGTTTGCCCAGTTTATAACAATTAGCCGCCGTTTCCCGGGTATTTTTCTTTATTACCCGGATTAACAACCTCCCCCGGCACCCGCGCACCCTGTTCGGCGCTGACTTGCACTCGCCGTTTTAATTAGGTACATTTTATAAATGAATCGCTAGTTGTTGCATTCTGTGCTAGTACTTCTGTGATATCTACAACAAAGTAGTTTTGCTGTAACAGTGCATTATTTTAGTAGGCTACGTGGCACTATATCTAAAACTGTGTTTTGATTTTAAATTATGACTATAATGTACCTAATTGTAATTATAACACCTACTTACAGTTGCCCCAGAATTATACCTATATATGAACCGAAAATTTTAGCCAAGTACTGAGTCGTGAAAAGGAAAATGATGTTTATAAATTATCTCCACCATCGGGCACTTTGCGAGTAATGTAATGACATCCAACGTACAATTTCTTTGCATGGACACATCTGGTTTCTATTCGCGTCGCGCTCTCGTCGACGAGGTCAAGAGTTAAGTGCTCGTAATAAGTAATTATCTACGTTTCCAAGTATAAGTGGAATTTTGTAGATGACTTGCGAAACCATTGGCTTGTGTTGCAGAGAAAACCACCAATTACTGTATGGAAGCAGTTGGGTCGATTCCTGCCGTCTAACTGCAGTGCCTAATAGACACACAGCAATTCGTTTTCTTCCCCGAAGACTTAAAGACGGTGCATATGTCGTGTTATTTTATATCCAGTGTTGATAAGTTCTGGCAAGCGAGTCCGCGGGGCGATCCTTACTGCTCAAGTTTTTGCTATTAACATAGTTGACGAACAAACAGCCGTCGGGACCTCTTTATGTAAGTTGGCAACTCGCTCGTTTGACGGCGCTCTGCTTTTGTGCTTCTGTCGCTTCAATTTATGTTTTTGTTGATTTTAAACAGCGATGAAGCGTGCTCGGCTATCTTTATTATTTGCGAAGTCCGAAGTTTTCCCATTCCATTTTCTGGCCTGTGTATCTTCTTAACTGGTTTTCAAGTAAAACGCGAGGCGGCTTTGATTGTTCTGAACAAAAATAGTCTGGGTTGATATCACTAGGGTATACACATAGAATAAATACGCATTTGGTGATTCGCTAACCGGAATTGGTGTTCCAACGATAGGTAGTGTAAGTAGGGTTTCATATCTGAGATTATTTGAGACCCTGATACGTATCAAACATAAAATACGTTCAAAAGTTGTGTACAGATACGTGAATTGAAAAATATCGGTGGGCCCTCGTTTATTACCTTACAAAAAAGACATTAAAGTTATCTTATTGGCAAAAGACATAAATAAATTTGTTTTTCTTTACCTAGTTGTTTTTCATTGTTTATAATTATATAATTTTCAGAAATTATTACCAGAGAATCAATGCGGACGCGAGCGGATCAATGCGCGAGATCAATTAACACGTATTTGATGTGACCTAAGCAAATACCGCACGAGGGCAGCGTACCGTGGCCCGCGGGGGACCTCCATTCGCTGCATCGGGTTTCATGCAGCCCAATTTGCTTTTCATTAGATTGTATCGCATCACTTATTCGCATACGCCATGTTTTTAGGACGAGGTGGGCGATACAATGAATACAGGCCCATTTAAGTGTATGCATGAGAATGTAAAGAAGAAATCACTTTTCTGGTTTGTATGTACTGAAAATAGATGGTGTATGTAGGATTAGTTATTTCGGTTACGTATTTGTTGCTAAAGGCAAATAAAAAAATATTTTTCCTTACTCTTCTTTTCCCTAATTATTCTAGATATCAAGTTATTATCTACCTTGACAGTAAATTATGGTCAGTCTATAATTTCCGCTGCTAAAGGAGCTATTACTGCACAAGGTAGTATCTGTTTAATTCATGACGTGAATACTGACTGTCATAAGCCTTTGACACGTGAAGTGCACGTACTCATTGCACATTTTAAATAAGTGCAAAATTATAGTGCACATATTCGAATAATTTAGAACCGATTTCAATAGAAAATTGCGAATAAATGTGTACGTTTTCCTACAAAATCAAAGGGTTGTTTGTAGAAACCTTAAATGTACAGTGGCGTATGTTAGCGGTTACGTATAATGGCTCTGGCCACATAGAGGCAGCCGCGGAAGCGTTCCGAGCGCGGGAATTTCTGTAATGTACGAGTTTTATGAACCCTGCCACACTGAAACGCGCGGCCGACGCGCGGCCGACGCGCGGTCGACGCGCATTTTGGTGTGGCAGGGTTCATATGACCTCGTACATTACAAAAATTCCCGCGCCCGGAACACTTCCGCGGCCGCCTCTGTGTGGCCTGAGCATAAAAATCCTGTGTAAACATTGAATCCCGTATTCGACATTTCTCTTCCAATTTTCATTTGAATTATTTGGGTCACGCTATTCGGGTAATGGTATTCTATACGTATTCAATGCAGGATATTAAATGTGGATTTATGATGTAAACGCTCGTGCTCCGCTAACGATTTCAATTTCTAAGTACACACACAGGGCGTTTCACGTCTATGCCACACGGAGGGAAAGTACCTTAAATACCGTAGATAGAAAGTTTTACAGAAAGAAGACTTCATTTTGATTTTAAAAACGATTCGAACTGCATTCAAAGATTTTTAAATAATCGCCTGTCTGACTCGGGAATTGAACCCACCAAAAGTGAAAAAAAATGCCTGTAATTTTACTATACTGATCGAAAGCCTTAATCATAACGATTGTTCTCTATACTTTAGTATAATAACACAGCATCTTAAGTAAAGAAAGACCATGAAATGTAACATTTAATTACAATAATTAGGTACATTCAACTGCAACTTACAATCAGTTTATTAAGTTATCGCATGCTGAAAATGTGTCCCATTGTGTAGTATACAAATTTTCACATTTTTGATAATTTCGCGTCCTGTTAATTTATTTATCTTTTCTTGGCGAATGTTTATAATAATACGTCTAAATTCAGTTGGTAACTCCTGCACATTCTCATATCGGTTCCCGTATACTAAATCTTTTACAGGTTCACTTTCCTGAACAAAATTTCAAATTAAATGTTAAATTTCATGGTCTTCCTTTCATTTAAGATACTATGTTATTTAGAAGAGAACAATCGTTATGATTGAGGCTTTCGATCAGTTTAGTAAAATTACAGGTGTTTGTTTTATCACATTTGGTGGGTTCGATTCCCGGTTCAGACGGGCGATCGTTCGATCGAATCGTTTTTAAAATCAAAATGAAGTCTTCTTTCTGTAACATCATACCCGTGAGACGTCCTGTATATATTTACTGATTGTTATTGACTAAATGCGACGGTGGCCCAGTGGGAGAGCGGTTGCTTCTCAACTGAGATGTCGACGGTTCGAATCCCATAGTTTAATTTCCAAGTTCTGTACATTTGTGAACGTTTTGCAGTAATATCTCTCGAGTGTTTCTCTAGAACACGTGACGGGTTAAGTCACGTTACTACAGAACCATAACCTGTCAAGTCATTCACCTTGGGAATAATTACCTAGTCATTATATTTTCCTATGTTATTTTTTTGAATTAATGAAACAAGACAATTGTATCTAATTGTTTAATTGTTTTAGTTTAAACTAAGAGATAACAAACTCCACTGTTACAATAAATACAGACTAGATCCTCTATCACCGCAAACGTTTTTAAATTTTTGGTTCGTTTTCTTACATACTGTGCCCGCTTCTATGGACCTGCATAGACGAGCAAATATTCGCTACATCATTGCACTTCAAATTAATTTCTAGCTCAAGTATATTAGGGTCGGTTTTTCTACACAACAATTATAATGCTTCCTGAAGATCCTACCATAAAGTCGCACCCTTGGGGTAATAAGGCCACATCTGCAAAAGGACAACTTTTCCGAAGAGACGTTTAAAGATTCTACGGATGAAATTAGTCAATAATTTTTATTGCTTAAACTGTAGGGTGTAGTTGTTTGTAGTATTTTTATGACTCATGTGATCGATGATATGTTATTGTTTATAAATATTTATCATAAGCATGTTCCATTTATTGTATATATATAGATGTATTATTTATTATGTAACTACACGTATGTATTTTACGTACAGTATGTTTTATGAAGTATGTTTAAATATATGTATATTCAGTTTAATTTATATAGCTGCTTTGTGCACCATTAACTGCCCTTCACCTGTATTTGTAACTCCGTAATAATTTGTCAGGTTGCGTGGTAGAGATCGCTGTATAGCGATAAGGCCGCCGATGGTACCTTTTATGTGCAGTAAAGCCTGTTCTGTTCTATTATATTTAATGTATGGGAAAAGTCACATGGCTATATCTTTGATTTCTCCAAAGCGTTTGATTGTGTACATCATGACACTGAAGGAAAATTGGAAGGAAACTTCACCGTTGTAGTGAGGCGATCCCGTAATATGATCACATATGGCTTTATTATACCAAGGGTTTGAAGTTTACCTACTTGGCACATTTATCACCTGGCCTTACTCTCAGCTACTGTAATGACAATATGACACTTAAAAAACTACCTACTTTATACACACTAAATAACTCGGCAACTAATTATTAATTATATATGTGATGTTTCTATATCACACAGAATACCTTTCTAATGTTTAACACTTCCAGTACCTTCCTTTGTCTTCCTTAATAATATTTTTAGTATACAAATTTATACTTCAATTAAACATTCTAGAAAAACCGTACATTTTGTTAGTTTCGTTGTAAAATATAGTAAACAACTGTCAATAACCTTTAAACGAGTTTCGAAAAATTCCACTGTTTATGCATACAATAGTCTGAACAAAGGTTAATTAACAACACTTAAAATTCGTGTCAAATTTAAAATAATAAACATTCTCCTGTGACATGAAAATACGTATAACGATCCACAATACCCTTCAAATGACTCTAGAGTTTATATTATATGCTATTGGTTTTAGAATAACTGCTGCATTTTCTTACAATATATAGTTATTATATGAACAGATGACGTTGCAAAATGTCTATCACGCTTTCTTTGCATGGCGATGATTAAATATACGTAGCACACCAATAAAAAAATTAATCACAATCCTCTCACATTAATATGGGTCAATAACACTTTGTCAAAGAATGCTGGTTGTGTTTCGATTGAACATAACGTCTTTCTCTTCACTAACTGTCGTATCTATCATTTGCGTCGTACACAAAATAACGTATATTACCACTAATCGTTGTATAGGCTGCGCCAAAGGAGTCTTCTGGCCCGACGTACATACCACTCCTTTCTTGTACGTCTGACGCACCCTGAGCGACCTTTCACCATGATGTCAAGCGTTATAGTGTATGCTATAGATATGGTAAGAAAACGATCATTGTATATCCAACTTTTTAACCACTGACGCAAAAATAGGTGAGTTGTTTGAGTCTATGTGTCTATCTGTGACATCGAAGTTCCTAAGATTTTTAGCTATATTTAAAGAACGTCGTTCTGTTGTTTAAAGACAATCAGATAATGTAGGGATCTCAGTTTGGTAATGAATATAGCGATTTGAAACTTGGTACACTATACAAATCCGAAGACATTACAATAATATGGTAACCTTGATCTAATGCTGCAACCAGGACAGTCTGCAGACTACTCACCTTCAACTACTTACAGTGGAAATATCGCGATTGGGCTAGTTAAATTGGTCTCTACGAAATTCTTTTTTGTACGGATGGTGATTTTTATTGACTTTTTGGTGTACACTGTTTTGTGTCGGGAATCGACAGTTCAAGATAAATATGTTGCCTTTAAAAACCGCCTACCGTCAGTTAACCCAGTCCAGACAGTAGTAATGCTCGCGTACTCACAATAACGAAGGAACCCTGGACTTTAGAGATAAATAATATTACTTTAATTGTATTGTAAATACTAGACAGGGTCTTTGGCAATCAATCAAAATACAAATAACCGTTCATAGAAAAAGCTGTCGCTTAGGTCGCAAGATTCGTCACCCCGTCCTGGTATGTTTGAAATTGTTAAATCCGTATGTTCGACGGCGGTACCGGGCATAAGTATCGTTCCAGAGATGTATGGAAGGGGGATGCCAGACTCTAGTGACGCTAAGCTGGCGGTCGATGACCAGGGCGTGCGGGCTGGCAGCGCGGCTCGGCTGCCACCGCACCGGCACTAGCCGTGATGTCTTTGGTGTTGGGTCACTGAAATATGGAGACAGTTTAACATTTAGACTGAATAAAATTTAAATTCTCTGTAAAATCTTGGGACTGTTAAAGCACAGATTACTTAATAGTTATGGTTAAAATCAAAAGTACTTTTGCCTTTAAAATGACATCATCTATTACATATTCTTATCTCATCTATGTGCAAAGCGTCGCAAGTGGATTGACGAGTTGGGGACAACCGCACACAATATGTGACGACACCAAATAACAAAGACGACATTTATTATTACAACGATGTTCTGCACTGCACAAAGAGACATCACAATTTATTATAAGATGAAAGATGTCAAATTAGTAATGTTCTAGAGATTCGAACAAGGTGGCGTCAAATAATAATAAACGTCTATATTTAATTATTCATATTTTATGCTCTTCGTACGACCCACTCTCAGATTCTCATTCAAATTAAATTCGTTGCATCACATCCACACATTGTGGATCCACATGGCTGTTCTAAACTTAAGCGGGTGCGCATTTATAGCGTCAATATTATAGATGCGATTCATGGGCGCGACCATTATTAATTGTACGATACAATCAAAGGAAAAGTGAACCCAGATGTTATTTCAGATTTATACTCCAAATGCACAAAAACATAACTCATGTTTCATGTTCACTGTTGACTTACTTTGGCTGATGTATATAGGTATAGGTACATAATATATCGCGCAAAAAACTTGACGAACATGGTGTGATGTCATTATTTGTTATTGCTTGAATGAAACTGGTTATTAGATTGTCGAATAAAGACTGAATAGCTCTTAAACTCACCCATATTTGGCAAAATTTGTCCAAAGCGTAAGCATGCGATTGATCATGCGACGTTCGAGATAACGATGCGGCAAAGGGAATGAATGAGGTTTGAACATATAGAACAGTTCATCGGCGTGAGATGCGCCGTCAGCCCATCCGAACCATGAGATGATCTTCGGTATGTTTATGTACCCACTATACTTGAAGAGGTAATACCAGATCGGTTGGTCCGTCGTCCGTGCGTACAACTCCGCCTCTAACACAGACGGAATCTTGAAATGCAGATCCGAATACAACTCTACCATATCCGTGATCATGTCTTCTTTTCTCGTCGCAAAGTACTGTCTCTTTAAATGCTCCACGGTTCGGTTCCTATCCCTCTCTGAAGGAAACACCAAATCTGGTTGCAAGGTCTCGAATGGGTCGAATTTCTTTATGCTCGTACCGTAATCCTTGGCCACAAAATATATTCCTTCGTTGTCGTTAAACCCTATAATCATCGGTACTTTAGTGTAGTTCCCAGACAATATTATCTCGGCTGGATATTTAGTGACGATGGGCTCTACACCCGGTATGTCTTTTTCGACACACGGTACGAATAAAGTATCTGCTGTAATATAATTTTTGTGGTCAGAATATTGAATAGCGTTTATTAATTCACTCGTAGTTTTGTTCGAGATAATACTGTAAATTTCGTTAGGATCTTTGGTGTTGTAACCGAATTCTTTGACTAGAGCACTTGCCGTCTTTATGGGGTCGTGTTGTATGCCCCATGGAGCTAACGAAGATCCGCTTTGTAATATAGCTTTGTGGAAAAGTCCTCTCGCAGAAGGTGATAATATCAAATACGAAGTTGATACTGCGCCGGCGCTTTCACCAAATAACGTAACATTGTTTGGATCTCCTCCAAAAACTTCGATATTCTCTTTGATCCACTTCAATGCTGCTATTTGATCTTTCAACCCCGCGTTGCCAGGTGCTTCCTTTATGCCTAGACATAGGAAGCCTTCGACGTTGAGTCTATAGTTTAAACCGACTAGTACAACGTCGTGCTCTACAAAATCGTCGCCTCCATAAAGAAAGCCTGCGCCAGTGCCTTCAAAAAAGCAGCCTCCGTGGACGTAAACCATTACTGGTAGTAAGGTATCAGGATGTCGTTTTGCTGGCGTATAAATGTTAAGTTTCAAGCAGTCAGGATCTCCAACTACAACGGAACCAATCATGCGTTGTGGACATCGCACATTTTCGTTCACTGCATCGTATATTCCATCCCATCGTGCCGGCGGTAGCGGTGCCTGAAAAACAAATGAATTTATTTTTCATTTTTCAGTTTAAAGTAGGAAATGCTAATTGTTTTGCACACAAAGTTAGTGTTATTTAAGTGTAGAATAAATGTTTGCTCTGCGCCAACCTTGAAATATTACGGAGGTACGAGAAAAATCAATACACGCTAAGGCATTCAAAATTATTCTCAAGTCAGGTAATAGAAGGAATAATTTAACTTGCTGATCAAAACTTGTAATAACTTTTGATTTACTTATGAGAATCAACAACACGATTTTTAGTTACGTATTTTGTTAGATAGTTTTATAAATTTATAGTTTCATATATCAAAATGAAGGAGGCTTGTGTAAACACCCTTATAGTATAAATCTTTGGCAAATGCAATTGCAGTCAACATTATGCTATTTGGATAACTAATACTCCATACAGATCGTTGAATGAACTTCTCGTGACTGTCGTTTTCCTTCTTCGATTATCATTAAGTGGCACATGCCTAGATATGCACCAATGTTTATTAAGCAATGTAGTTATTATACTTATTTTCCATTAAGGAAATTAAGTTATAATTAACTTATCTAACGTGTCTGATATTACCTGAAACCGATTGGTGTCGTCAACGGTGGCGTACGGTACACCAAAATACAGGAAGGCCCTTCCGTCATGGCTGAGAAATCCTCGCAGCAGGCCGCTGGACACCTGTACTACAGGCGCCGGCTCGTGGATCAGACTCGCTGCGATCAGCGACACCAGCGCCACCCACTTCATCCTCACACACCAAAACACAGGTCTCTTCACTGTTTCACTGCATTGTACAAACAAGCGTAGGTACGTTTTGTATGACACGAGAGTTTTGGTAAATTAAATTCACTAGAACTTTACGTTTTTAATCCTAGTTTTTAAACTTCACTACGCAGAACCACGTACCTATATTTATTTATAGAGATGTTAATTTATTACGAATACAATGTTGCTAAATGATTTATTACAATATGCATGTTATATGCGCAACGTCCAGTCGTGAGCAAAGTCGCATCGGTTATGGAAACAATCGACGCATGGAAATAGCGGTACGAGCATTTCAAGGGCTTGCGTGTGCGCTGGTGGCGTTCGAAATCCGCCAGTGGACAGAAATCGTGCATAAATATTACCTAACGTATATTTACAATCCCACATAAGTAGTTAAAGATAGTTGTTAGTCAATGTTGGGAGTCTTTGGCGCTAGTCAAGGTCGTACACAAGTTCAAGATTCCATTATTGTACGTCAACATAAAAAAATACGTTTTCCACATACGTATAAAGGGTGTCCCATGGCTATGCGACACAGAATAATTTTTAAATACGGGACGTTTTGCGTCAAGCGGACATTATTTTATTTTCAAAAGTAAATAATACTGCACTCAATCCTTATAACATACAGAATGTTTTATTTTTCACATTCAGTCTGTTTGATTCCCAGGTAAGGCAAGCAACTTTTTTAAATAAATGATTATCACTAGTGTCAGGTTTCTTGCCACGGTATGACTTCTTTTTATTTTCCCGATATTTCGGAACGGTTGCACGCTCCACGGTCACGGGTTGACTCTTAAGAAACCTGGATACTAGTGATAATAATTTAGTGAATAACCACGAAAGTCTTAAAATCTATATAACTTTTTAAATCTTTGAATGCAGTACCTATTACTTACTTTTAAAAATAAATTAATGTCTCCATGAAGCAAAATGTCATATTTAGCTTTCTATTTATATGTCATATACATTTCTAATCTAAAATCGCTGGAGTATCTAATTGTAGGTACTATTTACATGGCTATGTTATATTGTTTAAAACAAAAATCTGCGCTATTGTCTTCTTAGCATTTTGGCGCTCCAAGAATAAGGGTTAAACTGCGCAGTCACTCTGTTTTGCATAGAATTTGTGCGTCCTTACCAGAACTGATTCCAGTACGTTGACATTTTCTAAACAGTAATCAATTCATTAATTATTTGAAGAAGCACCCGCATTGTAAAGATGAAAACCAATGTACAGAGCGCAAACACGCAGTCGCGTGTACCTAAATGCAGTATTGTGTGTATTACAAGGTACTACGTTTTCTCATAACAATCGATACATTAGTTAATTTGCTTGTGTTAAAATGTTTCCATTCCCCAAGGAAGTGTCGTCGGATGTTTTCTATTCTTATATATCTTCCAAACGCAATAAACGAGACATGTGCAGGTGCCTACTATTCTGAGAAGACATCTCCATACTCACCCCATGCCAGAATAATGCAAATCTCAATTTAAAGCTGAATTCTATTTTTGAAAGAACATGGAACTGGATGGAGGAACACAATTTAGGAATAAATTTCAAAAACCAAATTAATGACATTCCAGCCTTTACAAAAACATAAATATAAATTTCAAATTCAGTAACATAAATACAAAAAATTCAGTCACTTCTCTTGGCTGGGTATAGTTATTGACACAAACACCATTTGGAAAGCGCACATTAATTAAATAAATAGTAGTATATCCAGGTTCGCGTATGCTCTCCGTGAAATAAAAAGATCCACGAACATACAAACAGCATTGACCACCTACTACTATGCGTACGCTTACACTTGGCTAAGTGGCAGTAGAGCTACGTGTGAATGAGTTTGTTCAGGGAAGCACCTTCCTTACCTATTTCTGCCGCCAAGCAGTAATGTCAACATTCCTGTTTTCCGGTTTTGAATGATAAGGGTGCTGGTGAAATTACAGGCGCGTGGGACTTGTCAACTTGTGTCTCATGTTGACGGGCGCAGTGGCAGTGCCCCTCAGATCTTTGCGATTTAAAGCTCTGAGTGGCACTGCAACTGTTATGGACAGGCGCGTAGCTTACCATCAGGCGCACTATTTGTTCGTCCCGTCACTAGATATTATAAAAGAAAACCTAAGGTGCCATCCTGTAGGGTAACAGTACGGATATAATAATTCTGTTTACTCTTCCAAAAAAGGTTGTTAGAATTCTCGTAAATATAAAACAGAGCGACAGTTGCAAACTTTTCTTCCAACAGCACAAAATTCTCACATTTCCGTGTATATAGGTACGTCCTGGAAATATGTAGGTTAGCTCGTCCGAAAAAAATTTGAAGACAACGTCGAAGACATTCCGACAAAATATTCCTTCCGACACAAAGACAGATTAATACCACCACCTCGCGATTAACATTGCATGTCTAGTCCGTTTGTTATGTCAACTAAAATTTATAACAAATTACCGAAAATAATAAAAACAGAAGCAAGCGAATCAAAATATATAGACGCGTTAAAAATATATTTAGGTAGTGACTAAAAATTACTATATACTACACAAATACTTAGATGATAGGAATATATCCTATCAATAATATAAATAATATAATATTTAATACGTAATTCAGGTTTGTTTAATACATCAAATTATTCTAAAAAAAATAATATACTTAAATTATTATCATGTTATCAAATTTTTTTCTCAACAAATACATATTGACCAATATCGTTCAATGTATGCGTTTTTAGGGCTTCAGTAAATGGAATAAGGTTAGAATTAGTTTAATTTATTCAGATTTTTGTCATTTGCTCTGAACTTGCAGGGCCCGTAATGAACTTAATTTATGTTACCTACCGCCTTGTATATAACATTAAGGTATGCAACAAAATATTGAGTATCGAATAATTTTAGCACGACATTACAAGTTTGTAATTGAAGATTATAAATGAACTTTAGAAGCTGTAACGTTTGCCAATAATAAGAATAAATGTGTATGGATTTTAATTACGAATCTGAAAACCCTAGAAAATAAAACAGTTTATCACCAGTGACCGTGGTCAAGAAGAAATAAAGTCAGTGGCATGTTATCTCTAAGTTAGCGGCCGATACCCAGAGGAACCGATACAGAGCAACGACAGACGGTTATTATCAAATGAATGTAGCCTCAACCTTGTCTATTAATTATTTTGGTCATTTAGTAAGAAAGATTGTTAAGTCATAGATTATTGTTCCCTTACTGGAAACTTCATAACAAATTTATCTACATAATTGCTTGAATAAACGATGCCAAGTGTCTTAAAAATACAAATTATCCAGCAATTTTAGATTGTTATTATGGTGGTTTTTATTGCGCGTTCGGTTTTTTAACGTTTTCCGTTTAACGTAGGTATGCGTTTTTTGTATCCTCCATTAAAATATATTAATAAAACTACTAAAATATTATTTATGTACATAAATTAATTACAGCAACGTATACGTTTCTGCGGCAAACCGCTGATATACAAAATTTGTTTTTTATGAGGGTTAAAACTATAGCGAAACAAAAACTTTATGTTAAAGGTAAACGCCGTACGTGAATGACACAAATTCTTGTTGATTTTATAATTCATTCTTTTTTTGTTTATCACCTTAAACAATGTGACAATTTCAAATGTAATTTGCTTACCTATTAAATAAAGTAGAGTACCGTGTTTAGGCCTAAGTGTTTAGTATTAAGACCTAATTACGTAATGGTTGCATACAATACTTTTTTACGACTAAATAAAATTATCAAACTGAACTAATAATTAATGTATATTTTGTTAACAATCCATGACAAGAAATGCAATTTTTTGAATAAATTTTCATTTTTCCATCTTGGAAGATTTTAACCCATTTATTAGGGTAGGCAACGGTTCCACTATACACAGCCTCTTAATATAAATTATATTTAGACGAAAGCCAAACAAACGCTACAAAACAAAAAACTAAAGAGATATAATAGAACTAGCCAAAGTACCGCATTATATTTTAACCAATATTTTTTTTGTAAAGATTTATGGCCCGGTTCAATTTTAGTTTTAGCGTAGAGTAGCGTCCTAATTTATATTTTAATTAGCGAAAATACAACGTTCTTTTTTTGAAACTCATTACAGTTCTGTGTATAGAACTGAAATTGTAGAATTTTTCAGCTCACAGGCGAGTATCATAGACAATAGTATTTTGATTCAGAGTTAAAAAGAGTGCCTATAAGATATTGTTTATGAAATTGTAATTGACAGTAGTACAGGAGTAGAAATAAATATTTAAATATCACTACTGAAGCAGGAAAATCGTCACATAACACGTACTGTATTATTTAACAATTTTCTTACTTGTTTTTGCTAGAACAGCACAAATTGGCGGTCGACCATGTCTTATCGCTTCTACTGTCACAACCTATCCTAAATTCTGTTTCGCGGTCGCCTCATTTGCCGCCAACGCGAATGAATACATTTGCACAATCGGTCAACCTAAATACCGATTTGACTTCTGAAGGCCAACTTTGTAACTAATATGTCAATTATATAATGATCTTTATGTATCAGCTCTGTTATTACTTTTGTAATTATTTTGTAAACGATTATGTGAAATTTTTATATTTAGTAGCAGTAGAGCTCGTTCTTACCTCGTACTTACCTATTTCTGCCGCCAAGCGGCAGTGTGAACATTGCCGCGTTCCGGTTTTGAAACGTAAGGGTGCTGTTAAAATTACAGGCACATGGGACTTGTCAACTTATGTCTCAGAGTGAAGGGCGCACTGGCAGTGCCCATCAGATCTTTGCGATTTAAAGCTCTGAATGGCACTGCAACTATTATGGATAGGTGTATCGCTTACCACCAGGCGCACCACTTGTACGTCCTGTCTTTTTGTCGGATCTAAATAGTGTATATTTGTTTTTTCAAACAAACCAACGTTTCGGGTTCCTTATGGGTTACTTGGACACAGTCAGCCGTGACCATGGGACTTGTCACGGACCCGAAGCGTTGGAAGCGTACTCGGAAAAATGGTTTAATTTCCTAAGAAAACAGGAATAAAAGTTAACTTTTTCAAAATTTGTACATTAATGTATCTTCGCGATAGACAAAAACGTCAACGTAACAGAGCGTGCGAACCATAAATAAATATTATAGACAGATTTAAAAAGCATGATTCGAGGCGAGGAAGCGAAAGACGCGCAGAGGTTAGGGGTCTACTCTCGGTCTCTAGTAATATTCGACAAAATTAAAAGACAAGTATCCAGTATGAAGCTTCATTCGCATCACGCGTCTTTTCATTTGGTCAAGTAT